ATAAGAGTTCAAAATAAGTAAATTTCATACGTGCGAATGCAATGTGTGTCAAGGCATTAATTTATATAATTTAAAAGTAATACAGTACCTACCTATATTTATGTAARAACAAAGGTAAAAGTATAGCGCAGCGCTCTCGTGCATGCCCTTACAATTGACGTCTCAGCGTTGCCAAGTGGAAGGTAAACGACTTTTGCTCATAGCTTTTAAGTTTATTGTAATTTTTGTCCATCCTACTAACATACTAATCGACACAGTAATACAAAAATAATATGAATTTGTTATTATTTCTACTTGAGATACTGACATAATGCTATTATAATAACCACAAACTTAATGGACATTAAATAATCTATAATAAAAATAAATATATTAATAAAATATAGCCAACATTTTTTGAGCCAATAAATATATTAAGCACAACTAAATTATTCTACAAACTTTTTAGTTTAAAATAGTCATTAGTGCTAAAATAAATAAATATTTTATATTTTAAGAAAAAATTAATGTTATGAGGCTTATGTATACAAAACTAAAGTCAGTTTTTAATAAATTCATAACATTTATTGTTTACTTGTATTCAAAAATTGCATATATTTCAGTAGATAGTWCAATAAAAAATTTTTAAATTTAAATAAATTACTTTATCGTTTTATTTTTAAGACACAACGATTTTTACAAGAAGTCACATCAGATTATGTTGCTCTAACAGGATTAAAAATGTTTTCAATCACCAGAAACTTTCTTTTAGGGGTAAGATAAATTTGAAAAAAATAGTATATTTATGAGCTCATCAGATATGGAATGTTCAACTTTATTTACAGGTTGCTGGAGCAGTTTTAACATATGAAATTGTGTTAATACAACTACAAAATACAAATTAAAGTCAGAACCTTTGTCAAACAATTATGTTACCGTCAAAATATCTCAATAAAAAATTTAATATTATGAATGATATTCAAAAGATTTATCTCAGATGTAAAAAGTAACATTATTGTAGCCAACTGAATCCATGAAGATAACAATTTTTTTTAAACGGGTTCTACTTCTTTTTTATTGTTATTGTTTTCAAATGACATATGCCGGKTGATGGAATTTAAATCTCGTAGCAACAAAGTTACAGTATTTGTTAAGACTTCATTATCTACGCAGCCATTAACTTGATCTTCAAGTCCTATATAACAATAATTAATTGTTAGWCCTCAGTAACAACTTAAACAATGAGTGAGTTTAAATAAAGAAAATCTACCATTAGTTTTGGCTTCAAATAAGTTRATTCTGGCTTCTAAATTGTCAAAGCCATCTTCAATTTCTTCTAGTAGATTTTTTCTACAATCAGAAATATTGATAAGTTTTTCAGGTACTGGGCCAGAAAGCACTGAAAGATCAAACATTTAATATTAAAAATAAATAAATTAGTATTAATTTTAGTGAATTTATTACATTCTTCAAGCTTATCTTGAATAAGTTCTTCATTTCTTGTTGAACCTTGATCAGACCACAAATAAAGTTTAGGATGATCAGGTGTTTGCCTTTAATAAAAATAAAAAATTAAGAACGATTAAATTATTGTGAATCATAGCTCTCTTTCCCATATTATATGAAAAAAATAAAAATATAAAATGTTAAAAAATAGTTYACCCATAAATTGTAATTTTAACTCGTAAACTGTGCAAAAAATTATTATGTTCTATCACCTCAGCTACTAACTGATGAGACTGTTTTAAAATAGCTTCATCTTTTTTCCGTCGCTCATCTTTATGTTGTAAAACACTAGAAATTAAATATTAACTTAGATACATATAAAATTGATTTCATAGATCATAATGTTACTGTAATACAACAAACCTAGCTAGTACTCCTTCTTTAATCCAATCTTGTGAATAGTCATATTGTTTTGATCGTCTTTTCTTCAAAGGATTTAAACAACTAGTGCAAATATAGTTGTCGGGTACTTGATCATCAGATTCAAATTTGTTGCAATAACCATGTTGCCAGCACAAACAAATATCACACTGGAATAAATCCAAAATTGGGATGTTACACAAGTATGAAAAAAACTGTAAGTAGTAAGTACTAAATAAAATAACATAATTAGTTTCATGWAGAAATATAAATTAAGACATTTATATGAATTAATATTAAACAATATGAAAAGCAAATTGAAAAATTGTATTGCTATTTAATTAATACATTTTAAACAAAAATTAAACACACTTGAATCATTAAACCATCTTCTTGATTTGAAGCACAGGAACAATT